GGGGGCCAGAATTTCGCCCCCTATAGTCAGCGATGGAGTCAGCTGACTATGCCGCGGCGCCAGCAGCCACAGCCACTCGGTCTTGGAAGGGTTGAGCCTGAGTCTGTTCCTCCCCATCCAGACCCTTACGGCCTCCAGGCAACGGGTCATCACGTCAAGGGCATCGTTGGGGTGGCCTGGGGTGGAGATGTACAGCTGACTGATGGAAATCCACCCCAAAGCCACGGATGATCTCTCCCAGCGGCTTCACATAAATATTGAACAAAAGGGGAGAGAGGACCGACCCTTGTGGGACCCCGCAAGTTAGGGGCCTTGGGGTCGACCTCTGTCCCCCTGCCAATACAGACTGCGTACGGTCGGTGAGGAAGGAGGAGAACCACCGCATAACGGTGCCCCCCACTCCCAACCCACTCAACCGTCGCAGCATGATGCCGTGGTCCAAAATTATCACTTTGTAAGAAAAAGCCTTTCCTCCTTTTCAATCTTTGTCATTTTAGTATAAATTGCAAACCATCTTAAGTTTCCCTTTTGGTACCCTTAATCCTTGTTTGGTACTTTATTTACTAACTGGTGATTATAATTGGAGTAATAACATCAATAAAATATTTGCAAATGTTACTTAAAGTCTTATCCTCTGTATTTAATTTTAATGTTTGCTTTCCATCTTAATCAAATGTGTTCTTTTTTGCCCTGGACTGTCTTTTCGGTCTGTTGAATTGGGAAGCTTTTAGCCTTATTAATTTGGCTTGTTCTGTTTCTTTCACTAAGGGAAGTATGATTGTTTTGGGAAAGTTATCTCTATAAGCTCGGTGGGGTGTTAATGCTGATTAGAAACAAAACCGGGGTCATCCCTTGATCCCTAAGTATTAGCATTCTACTTCATTCTGAAAATATTTTCATCATTTTTTTAGTCACTGTGACTCCTTCAGGACAGATTACGACTTCTGGAACATTGACCTTTGATCGTACAGCAGCCGTGGAGGCCACGGCGATTATCTCAGAAAGTCCATCCCAAGGTGATGTTTTCACTGGTACCACTGGTGAGTAAGACAAAGCCACATCCACACGTAATCAGGATACTTCTTTAAAGGAGGAATCGGGCAGTGATGAAAGAAGATAGAAAACTTGATTAATAGCAGAAAAATAGAAAATTCTTATCAGTGAATTCAGTGGGATTTATTCTCAGACGCAGATGTACAAGATTGCAATGTAAAAACAATTGCTTTAATCTAATGCCCAGCCTCAGGAATGAATCACAGATTATATTGTTGGAAGGGGTCATTTAAGTCAGGGGTCTTCAAACTTGGCCCTTTTATGACTTGTGGACTTCAACTCCCAGAATTCCTCAGCCAGGCATGCTGGCTGAGGAATTCTGGGAGTTGAAGTCCACAAGTCATAAAAGGGCCAAGTTTGAAGACCCCTGATTTAAGCTATTGAGCCCAACCCTCTGATCAAGGCAGGGCTCTAAATCAAAACAATCCAGAGAGAAGGTTCTGCAGTTCTGCTTGAGACACATCTAAGGAAGGAGAATCCCCTAACCTCTGTAGGTAACTGATGCTCCCACTGTCTGGAAGTTTTTCCCAAGATTTAGTTGGAGCTTGCCTTTCTGTAGCTTAAATCAGTTATTTGCATCCCTTATATACGGCAACAGAGAACGTGCCTTAGCTTTCTTCTGATACCCTTTTCACTTCTTGAAGAATGCTTGCTCCTTACTCTTTTTCAAGCCTGAATAACATATTCTTCATTCTCTCTTTATAAGACTTAGCTTTTGGACATCCTCAGAGCCCTTGTCTGAACTTATTCTAGTTTTCTGAAATCTTATTAAAGTATTTTGCTTATTCAGAGCTCACCCTAGAAGTGGGGTCTGAACAACAACAACAAAAAAGGATGGATTCCTTCCCATGATTTGGAAATTATATGAAATTGCAATTTGCCTTCCCCCCCACCCAACCACCTCACATTGCTAACCTATGTTCAATTTGTAACAATCTACTAGAGGTAGTCCTCAGCTTACGACCACAATTGAGATGAGAATTTCTATTGCCAAGCAAATGGGTTGCGCCTGATTTTACTACATTTTTGCCACAATTGTTAAGTGAATCACTACAATCATTAAGCAAACTCAGCTTCCCCTATTATTTTGCTTGTCAAAAGCTAGCTAGGAAAGTCACCAGTGGCAATCAAATGACTCTAGGATGCTGCAACCATCATAAATACATTCCGGTTGCCAAGTGCCCAAATTTTGATCAAATAATTGTGGAGAGGCTATGATGGTCATAAGTGTGAGGACTGGTTATAAGTCATTTTTTTCCACAGCTGTTGTAATTTTGAATGGTTACTAAACAAATGGTTGTAAATCAAGGACCACGTGTAGTTCAAAATCTGTTTCACAATTATTATCAAACCGAATAGCCTGCATTTATTTCTGTTTCTTATTTTTTTTCAGTTTTGCACATGCCTTGTAAATTGCAAGTTCTTATTTTCAGCCCACTTCTGTGACCTGTCAAGATTGTTTTGGACTTTAGTTCTGAATTTGAGCACGTTAGCTTTTTGCTGTTGTTGTTTACAATTTTATATATTCTGAGCTTTCACTTTCCTGGCATCAGGTCTACAATTCTGGGCTACCTGTATGTATCTTCCTTTNAGTTTTGCACATGCCTTGTAAATTGCAAGTTCTTATTTTCAGCCCACTTCTGTGACCTGTCAAGATTGTTTTGGACTTTAGTTCTGAATTTGAGCACGTTAGCTTTTTGCTGTTGTTGTTTACAATTTTATATATTCTGAGCTTTCACTTTCCTGGCATCAGGTCTACAATTCTGGGCTACCTGTATGTATCTTCCTTTGTTTTGTCAAAACTTTCTATCCAAAAGAATATCTTTTTTGTTTTCAGATCTTTGTTTAAACTTGTGGTGTCTTATTTTTTTCCACTTATTGAAATTATTTGCCATTGTGCTTTTGAGATCTCCTTTTTAAGAATTCCTATCCATTCTAAGGTGCTTTTATAATTAGTTTCTCCTTTCATGGACTCATATTTATTTTCTTAGTTTATAAAAAAAAACTATTTTAAAGTCCAGGATTTGCATTCAGATCCGCTCATCTTAATTTTATTTAAGAATTTTTTTTAAGAACTTAAGCATAATGTGATCAACTTTCACCAGTGTTACTGCTGCTTTGGCTCCTTCTTTGGATATATCTTGCTGAATAATTAGTATCAGGTCAGAGATAGCTGCTTCTCCAGTGCCTTGCTCCACTCACTAAAAGAAAAAAGGTTTTAGTAAGATGTGTCAGGAATTTCCTGGAAGGACCATACTCAATGGAGTTTGACTCTCAAACAGATTTTGAGATAATTAAAGCCCCCCATCCCTAGTATTTCATGCTGCTTTGAAAGATTTGCAATTTGTTTTTGTAGAACAGCATCCATATTTTTTTTCCCTTGGCTGGACAAGGATAACAGACATTATGATAGTATTGCTTTTATTTGCTTCTTCCATTATTTTAATCTAAGTGCTGTCTAATATCGAGTTCATTTACCTGGATTTCTGAACAGATGTGGATACTTGCCACATAAAGTACATTGGCTTTGTTCTCCAACTTGAATTATTTATAAAAATAATAAAGGAGGGAAAAATAATAAAGATAAATGTCAACGCTGCTAACATCGGATGTTTTTGCTTTGACAACAGATGGAGATGTAGCCATTTTATTTTCGCTTTTAGAGTTAGATGATGCTGGGGAGGGGGGGATGTGCGTGAGAGTTCAGCTAAACATAATAATACTGAACCTAGCATGAGAATCAAGGTTGTTGAAATAAGAGATGATAAGAATTGGCCAGGTTGGAGAGTTGGAGGGAAAACCCACGCTTTAAACTAATTGGGGAATGTGATTTATGACTGTTAATTGGAGGAGGGAATTGTGCTTTGATACTATGTGCTCAAAGGGGGGGATCCAGTTTTTGGCTTCGATTATGTTAGTGCCGATATGCTTCTCGAATAAAGATTCTTTAAGGTAAACAATGCCTCAAAGTTCTTTGAAGAGTTTCATCTGTCGGAACCATGACAATAAAGATAAATCCTGACAAGACAGAATCATATTAATGGACTGATTTTCTGTCCATTTTAGTGTTAGTTTGTCTAGATCAGTGATGGCGAACCTTTTAGAGACCGAGTGCCCAAACTGCAACCCAAAACCCACTTATGCATCGTCGGGTGCCGGGTGGGTGTGGCCCATTGGGTGGGCATGGCTGCGGTGGTAACGGCAGACTGGGTGGGACTAAAAAGTTCAATCAATCAATTCCAACTTTGCAAGATCTTTTTTTTTCCCGCGAGAAGTTGAAATTGACTGATTGATTGAACCTTTTTTTTTTGTACATGGCGGTGGAGGCCTAAAGCAAAAAGGTTTTATAAAACCCAGCTGAAGGCCTAGGACTGGGGCGACGGCACGCGTGCCCACAGAGAGGGCTCTGACTGCCGCCTCTGACACCCATGCCATAGGTTCGCCGCCACTGGTCTAGATTAAGAATGGCTTAAAACCATTTTTAAAAAGTTGTAGGCAAAAAAAAAAAAACCCAAGTGGACATACTTAATAAATTGCATCACATGCAAGATATAAACATATTTTAAACAACTGCAGAATATGGATTGAAGGGTCCTCTCCGAACTTGATGGTTTTCTTGCAGAGGTTTCATTATCCAAACTAGGTAACAAAATCAGTGCAGGAATTGTCTGCAGAAAGCAATCCAGCTCAGAGAGCACCGAGGACCCCTCCTTTCAACCATGAGCTACAATATTCTCCTTTATTGATAAAATACGGATTTAAACATTATTAGGAAGCTTTTAAGTAAAGTATTTTTAAAATGATAACAAAGAATAAGGGATAAACCTCTTACCAATACATAGAAGTCTGCAGTCCTTGACACATTGTCTTGCCTAAGGATAAATATTGCACGTCTCTTTTTAAATTACCCAGATAATCCAGTCTTTGGGAGGCTTTATGTATCACAAAATCATTTTATTTCTGACCATCTCGCTGGTATTCTCATTTTGAGATTAGCAGTTTCCTTGATTCTAGTTTTAATTATTCAGATTGAAGCTGAAATGTATTTAGATTAAACAGTAAATGCAGGAACTGGAGCATATTTTGATTTTATCTTGTAAGAAACTATCTTTCTGGCTAAATTCCTTTTCCAGAACTGTCCTATTTTCCTTAATGCCTTCTTACCTTTTGTGAACTTCCAAGATGTAACATCCAAACCAATTCCTTTAGTGTCTGACTGTAGTCCCTTCTCAACAGTGCAAGATACAAACCTTCAGCCACAACCTTGTCGGGTCAGTCATCCAGAGCCTCATTATCCAAGTTATCAAGACAGTTGTCAGATCTCAGCATTCCCCGAAGCAGCTTTGCCAACTTCTCACCCCAAAATTGGTAAGACTTCTTTTGTCTCTTAAAATAATCCCCGCATTGTTAAATGATATCATTTCAGTATTTTTCTGCCTGGGAGTAAATACAGTCACCTTTCGGAAAAATAGTAAGTCACCTGGGGGATGTAGGTGTGCTTAGGTGCTGCTGATGTCCTCAGGTAGGAGGAAAAGAGTGGGAATTATAGGTGGAGGGATGAAAATCCTTGGATATGAAGGCAGCACTGTCAAGGATCCAATCCAAGTGCAATGTTGTGTTAGAACTGTTGTTCTATACAGGCCAGATGATTGAGCCTTTGGAGATTGGAGCCATTATACCCTGGTAGTGGTTGTGTTAAGGCAGTTGCCAGCTCAGGTGCAGCTTCAGTAGTTTTCAACTTCCTTGGGAATGGGGACTTTTAATTTGACTTGCACTGAAAAGTTATGGAGCTCTCTTGAATGAGCAGAATATTGATTCCCTGGGAATATCTCTAGGACCTGGATGACTGAGAATCTCCATAGACCAGGGGTAGGCAACCTTGGCTCTTTTATGACTCGTGGACTTCAACTCCCAGAATTCCTGAGCCAGCCATGCTGAGGGGAAAGGGAGAGGTTTCCAAGCTGAGCCATGCTGGCTCAGGAATTCTGGGAGTTGAAGTCCACGAGTCATAAAAGAACCAAGGTTGCCTACCCCTGATCTAGGTCATAGCTCCGAACCCTCCCAGCCCCTCCCCCCCAATATGGTTCCTTGGTTTAGAGAAGAATTGCTGGCTTAAGAGGAGATGGAAAACTTCACACAGAGATACCATGAAGCTATTAGTTATATCATTTTGATTTTTTTAAGGTTTCCTGCATGAATATAGTGAGGTTTTAAAAGGATTTTGACAAGCCAAGGGTACGTTCTTTCATGCGAGAGTGGTCGACTTGAGGGCTATCTCACCACCTTCCCCATCTGTGCCCTTTTGGCCCTCTGTATCCCTAGCTGACATTCACCATCTTCTTGCTCCCGCCTTCTGGCCCAGCCCGACCCTTTGTGAGGCAGCTGTGACCGCACAAGGCTTTCTCCCTAGTGTCGTGCACAGCACCTGCCTCGCAAAGAGCCAGGCTGGATGCCTTCTCAGCAACTAAGAGCAGGAAGAGGCTGAAGGCCAGATGGGGTGATGAGACGCAGGGCAGCTGGGGCCTTGGAGTACAAGGTGGCGAGAGCAGCTGGGACGGGGCTAGGGGGGGGGGCTGCAGTTTTGGACGGCTGGGCCGGCTGGGGCTGGGTTTTGCGATACAGAAGGCTTCTGCGAGGGGTCAAGAAGCCCTTCACAGTGCAAAGCCAAGTCTTTCGCAGAAGCTCTTAGCGCTCTTTGTGGGGCACTGCTGGGCTGGGCTGGTGAACGGCTTCCCAGGAAGCCCATCATCGTGGTGCAAAGCCCTTAGCAGTGCAAGACTGGTCCAGCAGTGCAGTGCAAAGGGGCTTCCTGGAGCTGCAGTTCTGGGATTCCCAGGATATGGCAGTTTTGTGCCATGCTGCTGGGGCAGCTGAGGGTTCCATGAGCAGCTGCGGCTTTGCGCTGCACTGTGGTTTAAGAAGCTCCCAAGCTGCAGTGCATTTTTTCCTTGGCCTCCCTGAGCATCACATGTGTGTGTGGTCTATGCTGGGCCTCCCTCCTCCCTTGCGGCATCCTTGTGTTCCTTATCCAGGACCCCCTCTGCTGCCCATTTAACAACCCTGGAGTTAACATCTGCAGTTATGACGGCAACTGAGACTGCCGTGATTGCTGCTGCTAAGCGAGGTGGTCATGTGGTGTCATGCTTTATGACCGTACGGCTTAGCAACAGAAATCCAGTTGTAAGTTAAGGTCATGCACCACGCCCCTGCAGTCCAGAGAGGAAGGACTGCCTCTGGGTCTGCCCCATCTCGCCTTTCAGGTAGCCTGTGCCTGGTACTGTGGATCCCCCTGCAATCTTGGATTCCACCTCAGTCCTAGATCCCACTGCTGCCACCACTTGGGAGAAGTGGTGAAAGAAAGAAACATTCCGCATAGATTCAGTACGTCCCGCAGATTTTGACTTTGTGGAAAACTAAAAGAACTGGATTTGTAAAGGTTGAAAAAAATTTTTTCACTGAATATGTGGGGAAGTCTTAAAGTTAGGAAATGTGTGCTGCTGCACTCCCTTCAGGAGCTGGATTTCAGTAGCTCAGGGCAAGAGGGCAGGCTGCCTGGAAGTTGGCTAGCATCTGATGCTGATGGTGCCCTGCCCCTTTAAGACCTCTCCCTAGCCAGCCCAGCTGCTCGGCAACCAGCAGGTATAAAAGCTGAGCAGAAAACCAGCTGTGTGTATGTTGTGGGGGGGAGTAGTTGGTGTGTTGCTGTTGTGGGAGTGAGAAGGAGGTGGTTTTTATTCTTGGTGTAAATAGAGCCACCAGAGGCAGCCTAGGGTTAAGAGACAGAAAAAAAATTTCTTTAGCCCTAGGGCTCAGAAATTGTACTGGTCTCTAGAACAGTGGTTCTCAACCTTTTTAATGCCGTGACCCCAACCGGTCGTAAGTCGAGGACTAAACCGGTCGTAAGTCGAGGACTAAACCGATCGTAAGTCGAGGACTAAACCGGTCGTAAGTCGAGGACTACCCAATCGGTCGTAAGTCGAGGACTTTCCCTGCCCGGGAGCGCCGCGCATGCGTGGTTCCGCCCCCTACGCCGGCCGAGGCGTAGCTGGCAAGCGGCAGAGACGGAGCAGGCCGACCACCAGCTGGCCCAGCCTAAGGGAGGTAAGGCACCCGCCGGAAAAGGGGGAAAAAATGGCGGACAAAAAAAATGGCAGACAAAAAAATGGTGGACAGCCTTGCTTGGCGACCCCCATGAAATGGTCGATCGACCCCAAATGGGGTCCCGACCCACAGGTTGAGAACCACTGCTCTAGAACGAGTAGGAGTAGTAGAACTGGGGAAGTGTGTGAGAAAGAACAGAGTACTACCCATTGTGTGCTTGTGTGTGGGATGCCTAAAGTCCAAAGGGTCTTGTGTTGGTCCTCTGGGGTTTGGGGAGCCCATTGACTTTGGATATAGATAAAAGAATCTGTGGCACCCATGAAGCTGGTTTGTTACCTTAAACCAGGGGTCTTCAAACTTGGCCCTTTTATGACTTGTGGACCTCAACTCCCAGAATTCCTCAGCCAGGCACGCTGGCTGAGGAATTCTGGGAGTTGAAATCCACAAATCATAAAAGGGCCAAGTTTGAAGACCTCTGCTTTAAACTGTGGATAGGGTCCACTGCAATTGTTCCAGTCGGCTTATTCTATGGTTGGCTTCAGTTCTAAGATTTATTAAAAGTATATGCATCCTGCTTCCAGATTCCTAAGCTAGTGAAAAAAAAGCTCCTGAATTAAAGAGAAACAATTCAAAATCTCAAATATTCAAATGTTCTTGTATCGGTTGTTTGTAATGCAACCAGAAATTATCAATGCTTTCCTACGATGAAACACTCGGTGGAAGCAGCTTAAATTACTGATTTTTGAACAGGCCTGAACTGAGGGTCTTAGCTTGCTGCCTGGCTCTCTACCACAGCCAAATTGAATGACTGTGGATGACAACGAGGCAGAGACAAAAGAGGATGGATCTGGCCAACTTTCAGATACAGTTACTGGTGGATCAACCTCAATCTGTCTATTTTTTTTTTAGTGTTGACCTCACTTCCTGCCCTGGCAGTGCCCCCTGCTACCCCCACTAAGACAATCTCCTCCTCTGTGATGAATGGACTTGAAATGACCGAACAACGGAACTGGCTTTACCTAGAGGAGACGGTCAATTCTCTGCTTAACACAGCTCGGCAGCTGAAGACGCTGATCGAACAAGCTAAGCAGGCCAGCTCTTCCTACAGAGAAGCTGCTGTTTCTCAAGCGAAATTGCAAGCTGATGTGGAAAGGAAAGAGGTAATAAATACTTTTTCAAGAAATGAATCCATCTTCGCCCCAAATATCTTATAGCCCTCTTTTAAAATGATCCACCCCAATGCATGGCACAGTGACGATATGGATGTAGTCGTTACTAGAGTCTCTTTGAGTGAATTTTCAAAGTGCAGCCAACTATAGTGATTTTGGATTTGGTAGCATCCTTTCTGATCTGCAGTATACATTCTAAAACGATGGGTTGGATTTCTCCCACTGCATTCAGAGCAACAGCCTAAATGATTGGAGCTGCTAGGATTTATGTTCAACAGAAATATTTTCAGATCTGAGAGAGAGCTTAAAGCAGGGGGCTTCAAACTTGGCCCTCTTATGACTTGTGAACTTCAACTCCCAGAATTCCTCAGCCAGGCATGCTGGCTGAGGAATTCTGGGAGTTGAAGTCCACAAGTCATAAAAGGGCCAAGTTTGAAGATCCCTGGCTTAAAGGGAAGCAAAAACTCTTCTAAAATGCATAATAGATGAATATGGAGTACTGCCTATTCATTCAGTCAGTCAGTCAGTCAGTCAGTCAGTCAGTCAGTCAGTAATTCATTCATTCATTCATTCATTCATTCATTCATTCATTCATTCATTCATTCATTCATTCATTTATTTATTTATTTATTTATTTATTATTTATGGTTTTTTTAAAGTTTACAATTCATAAATGCTTGTTAAACAATGTGTTGTCTGGGTCTTAGCCTAGTAACATATAATAAAATCCTCATCTCTACCCCTTTTGTCTAGCCATTGGTAAAATACATCCCATATTTGAAAATATTCTGTATCTTCTTTTTCTTTAATCTTCAATGTGAATCTGTCCATTTCTGCATGTTCCAGTATTTTCTTAATTATGTCATCTTTAGATGGCGTTTCTTCATTTTTCCAACGTTGCACAAAAACAATTCTTCTTAAATATGTTTTATTGATATTTAACATAATCACCTTAATATTTGGTAAACAGCGTGTTGTCTGGGTTAGTATTTACAAAGCAATCAGTAATTAATTTCTATAATTCTATAATCCACAAATGGCTTTGCTTGATTTTCTCTTCTTCCAATAATATTCTTTTTTGCCAACCTTAAATTAATAATTTCTTATTATTGGAATAAATGACAATTAAATATAGACATTTTTCTCACGTTTCTGAAAATAATAACCACATCAATATAAAGCTTCTAATTGATTATCTTGATTGCCTCGTCATAGATCCTGTTTACAAAATTCTTATTTAAATTTGTTTTCCCCACAATATTCAAAGGATTCTTACTGGTTAAGATTTTTTCAGAATTAGTTACACTTAAGTATTTAAGTCTTTTTTCTCATACAAACCATCCCAACACTTTTACATTTCTCATATCTTAAAAAAGGGGAAAAAACAAAAACAAAGAAAACATTTCTTTTATATAAACCATCCCAACATTTTTATATTTCTCATGTCGAAAAACAAAACACAAAAGAAAAAAGAAAAAAAACCTGTATTACTTGAGGGGTTCATCCCTCTTAAACTAATTTTCGTTTATATCCCAAATCTTTCTATTTTTTTAACCATATTCAAACATATGTTTAATTTTTAAATATTCCCTCTGGTAAGTCCCATCATCTAATTTCTTAATTCTCAAAAAAAACCCCAGCAAAAACAATTCTTGCTGCTGTTAATACATGTACCATTAAATATACATTTTCTTTCTCATACTTCCCTGAAATTATCCCTAATAAAAAAAAATCTGGCTTAAAATCTACATGCTTTCTTAACATTTTTTCTAACCAGGTGTGATTTTTTGTCCAAGTACTGCTTATTTAAAGTATTCATATACCATTTGCCAATTAAACACCATCAAAATGGTTTCTGGTAAATAAGCTTTTACATAAAAGATCCGAATAAAATCAATAAGGTAAATAATAAAATAAGGAACCAAAGCAGTGGTAAGGAAAATAAAATATCACAGCAGGGTATAAAATTACACATTACTAAAAATTCTGGAAGAATAAAAATGTGTCTCTGTCACTCAGAAGACAGTGGAGAAGCTTCCAGGCTTACCGCACTATTGAAGGCCTATTTACCACACCATTGGAGAATATCCAGAGTAGGTCTTTTAGGGTACTGAGAGAAATTTGCAGGAAGAAAATCTCTTCATATGCCATGATCCTAAATACTGGAAGTATTATACATTAATACCTAATAGCACTTTGACTTGTTTACCACTCCATAATGCTTTACAGCAGGGCTTTTCAACCTTTTCACCCATTGTACCACTTGTAGGATATGGCAATATCCAAGTACCACCAGTCGACTAGCAAGGTGCCAAAAACTTGATGACCCAAAAAAAAAGGGGGGGGGAAGTGATGAAGTAGAGGTAGTCCTCAACTTACAACAGTTTGCTTAGTGACTGTTCGAAGTTACAATGGCACTGAAAAAAGTGCCCCCCAAACCACAGCTGAGCAAGACACCTGCCTGCCACCCAGCGGTGCTCTTCCTCCTGTCCGAGGTTTTCATTGTTGTGAGCATTTCTGTTGAGGATTGGCAGCGAAGTGGGGTGGGGGGTGTTTGGTTTTTATTCCCCCCATCTGCTGGGTGGTTGCAGCAGGTTTTGGTCACTTCACATCATCCTGGGACACTGTGACCATCATAAATATGAATCAGTTGCCAAGCATCTGAATGTAAATCACAAGACCCTGGAGATGCTGCAACATTCCAGCTGATTGGCGCTTCTTCTGGGCTCAGCAGAAGCACCAAGGTTAGCGCCGAGCTCCAGCTGGAGCCTGGCGCTGATCCTGGTGCTTCCACTGAGCCTGGAAAGCCCTGCAGCTCCAGCTATCTTTCGCTCAGGCTTGTGCGGTGCTGCCATCGGTTCAGCTTATTCCCCTCCCCCGCTACCACTTTTCTAGGATGGTCGCGTACCACCTGCCAGGTGCCAATGTACCACAGGTGGTACCGGTACCACTGGTTGAAAAGCCTTGCTTTACAGCACTCTCTGAGTGGTTTACAACGTCAGCATATGGCCCCCAACAATCTGGGTCTTCATTTTACCCACCTTGGAAGGATGGAAGGCTGAGTCAACCTTGAGCCCCATCAGGACTGAACTCCTGGTTCTGGGCAGAATTAGCCTACAATACTGCATTCTAACCACTGCGCCACCTGAGCTCCCAAATAGCATTGGGATTGCAACCGAAATACAAATGAGAAAATATATATAGTTTTCTAATATTAAAAATATTAAGTCCTGCCTATTTTGTTTATGGCAGCATAGTTATGAATTCTATAGGCTGGGCAGTGTCGGATCTAGACTTGAGACAGGAGGGAAGCGGAGAAGGAAAGGCCATTACTGCTGTAGATTCTCTAAAAATGATGATGAGTTCAAGGAGCAACAAAGCAATAAAGTGGCAAAGTCAAGAAGGACCATCCAGAATTCAGTTGCACAGTTTAAGAAGTCTCAGTGTGGTGAGGCAAGGCACAAGCCACGAGTTCAGTTACAAGCAGTGCTGGGAATAAAAGTGAGCCTGCTTATTTATCCGCCAAACCGGGCATCTCTCTCCCAGTGCTTTTAGATGATTCACCTGGGGAGCCCTGTGTCTGCCCACTCTCGTCCTCAGGTCCTCTCTCTGCCTTAATTCCTGGAGCCTTCTTTGTTTGTGCTTTCTAGGACCCAGGAGGAAGGAGGCATGGATTTGAAATAGCTGTTCTCTCAGTACGAGAGATGCTCACTTTCCTTCTTTTCTGATTGAGGCCGGGTGATTCTGTGGTCTTCCTTGGCTAGACGTTATTTCCTCCTCCAGGGCAGTCCTAAGAACATATTTGTCACTTGCTCACTGTGTATGTTGGCTTAAGCTCCCTGCTTTATAGCTCAGTTAGTTGCCTCACTTGGTTGCTTTTTTATTTAGACGTTTGAGTAAGAATTTAATCTGACAATTATTTAATAAAATTTAAGAAATATTCCTCAGAAATAAATGAAATTGAACATTATACGTGCTATGGTCAGAACTAAATGTGGGGGCTGAAAATTTCTTATTTTGTATAGCAGTGATGGCGAACCTTTTAGAGACCGAGTGCCCAAACTGCAACCCAAAACCCACTTATTTATCGCAAAGTGCCAGGGCTGCATCAGCATTGTGGTGCCCTTAGGGGGGGCATGGGGGCGTAGCCCACTGGGTGGGCGTGGCTGCAGTGGTCACGGCAGACTGGGTGGGTGTGGCCGGGGCCAGAGCGGTGGATGCCAGTCCCTCGCCATCTCCGGGGCATCCCGGGGGGGCAACGCCGCTTGCTCGCTCACTTCCTGCCCTGTCGCTTCCAAATGCCATGTGGTCGCTACTCTGGCGAACTCTGCTGGGGCAATGGTACGCGTGCCCACAGAGAAGGTTCTGAATGCTGCCTCTGGCACGCATGCCATAGGTTCGCCACCACTGTTCTATAGTGTCGATTTGCTTTTAGTACAGAGAGCTTTGTCAGAATCTACTGATAGTTTGAACTATTCTTTACTGCAGTGGCTCCCAACCTGTTCTATATCCCGCACCCCTAGAACGCTTCTGATATATTCTCGCACCCTTTACAAAAGTTCGAAATAACAGCAACGAATTATGCATATTCACTATAATTTTGAAAGCCCACGTTTTTGCACCCCCTGGAATATTGTCTCGAACTCCCAAGGGGTGTGAGCACCCCCGGTTGGGAACCCCTGCTTTACTGGAATGTGTCAGTTGGCTTTTATTGCTAATTATACCTGCCGTTGCAGGTTTTTATATCAATTTTTGTCTACAACTTATTTATTTAAAATATTTATATAACCACCCATCATTAAAGAGGACTTGTATGTATCCATTTGAATGGATGTTGAATTGGTTAAATTGGTTAACGTGTCAGTTGCAGCTACTTAGATTTGTTAAATATTGGGGGAAATTGTATAGTGTTTAAATCTGTACAATGGTAAAATAGAGTACATATGGAAGTTGTGGGTTTCCCCCTCTGAAGGCATTTAAGAAGAGATTAGACAGCCACCTTTCACAAATGTTCTGAAAATTGGACTAAATGATCCTTGTGGCCTCTTCCGGCTGTTCTCTGTTTCTGTGAAAATGAGGGAAGGGTTTTTGTGAGAAAAAAATGACCACGTGGAATTTTGTAAAGAATTTTTTGCTACTAGAATGCAATATGTTCAATATGACAGTCTCTTAATGGGACCCAAAAAAGTTGAGCTAACTTGTACGTAACAAACCAAGCAAATAACAATATAATTTCTTGTCACTGTAGAGATGTCGGGATCTTAATAGTAGCAGACATTAAGTGTTGGGCAAGAAAGGAGATTACCACCTGCAAACTTCATCTTCTCTAGACAAAGCCTTCTTTTTCAGGACTAGCAAAGCTACAGATGCAATTTCCAGCTGTGGGTTTTTGTTTCTTTGTTTTTAAGCACAATATAAAAGGAATGTTTGTGAAGTAACTGAAATATATGCAGTTCTTTCTTTTATCTCAAACCTAAACATTTCTTTCCTATTTGAAAGATAAATGATAGTGTATAATTTAGTATATGGAATATAAAATTTGATGTGTCTTTAAAGGTGTACTCTCCTTAATATTACTTAAGTAAGTCCTCACTCATGTTTATGATACAAGCATTCCACACAGCCATATTTTCAAGTTACAAACTGTTTCTTGTAACTATATTTCCAAGAACAGCATGAGGTACTTGTAAAAAGTAATTTATGATGTCTTTCAATTTTTGCAGTATCAGAATCAGTTATTTCAGCATACAGAAGATGTTGATGGAAAAACTGAAATTATTATTAAGGTAAGCCCGAAGATTGAATCTGAATGGTATCTAAGGACTATCAAGTTATTTCCATGTTCTTTTTTGATGCTAAATGATGGTTTTTCAGTGGCAGCAGTCTAATGGCGGTGTGAGCTTGAGCAGGCTAATGCTGCTGTGTCTAGGTTGGCCTGGTTCCTGAGACAGCGCCTTAACTCCCATAAGGGGTTGGCATCCATTTTGTCACCTTCCTTTAGCCCCAAGTCTTGGAAGAGGCCAACATGGCATCCATTATTGTGTGCTTCTGATCTGCCCTTGTGGTTGTTACATTAATAGATGGCAGATGGGAATGTATGGGTTGTTCTTTCATAGTGTCTAGTGAATTGGTAGAGGGTGATCTTTTTTTTAACCATCTGGTGCTTTGGGGGGGGGAACCTGGGGGTAGGCAGTGTCCTAAATTGCCTTTACGAATAAGAGAAGGTGATACCCCAATAGTTTAGTGCACAGGTCAGCAACCTGTGGCTCCGGAGCCGCATGTGGCTCTTTGAGCCTTCCCCTGCAGCTCCCAGCCTCCTCTGCCATTTGCAGAGAGAGACAGAGACAGAGACAGAGAGAGGCACTTGCCTTCCCTTCTCTCTCTCTCTCTCTCTCTCTCTCTCTCTCTCTCTCTCTCTCTCTCTCTCTGTGTGTGTGTGTGTGTGTGTGTAAAAAAGAGAGAGGACTCACGGTATTCTCTGAGGAGCTAGAAAGCTTATTGGGTGGAGCTCCTCCCTTTGCTGCGTCTCTGCAGGAAACAGGAAGCAGGAAGGGCAGGAGTCATAAAAGAGCCGAGGTTGCCTACCCCTGAGCTTGTTGGAAAACAGCTTGAAGCCAGCTTGCCAGGTGAGCAGAAGATGGAGAGAGGGAAAGGGGGAGACAGAGAGAGAGAGCGCCTTTTGACATCTAAAATGAAGCTAACACTGCATATATTCTTTTTTACCTTTATGATATATCAAAAGGGTTTTGCGGCTCCCAGTGTTTTGTTTTCGGTGGGAAACGGGTCCAAGTGGCTCTTTGAGTGTTTTGGGTTGCCTACCTCTGGTTTAATGGGAGCAGATTGCAGTTGGTACAAAATGTAGCAGCACAGACTGTTATGAGTGCCTTTCAAGCTATACATTTTACTTCTTTGCTCCATGAGCTGCAGTGGTTACCAGTGTGCTTCTGAGTTCGATACATTGTGCTGGTGGCTACCTATAACGCTCTCCACATCATGGGGTCAGCTTATTTGCAGGACTGCTCCCCCCTCTTATATCTGCCCATCCAAATGGATGAGCAACCATGTTTACATAACCTTCCTTGAAATTTGGCTACCAGTAGCTGCATGGAGAAAAACCAGAATGTTTTTTCCCCCCAAGTATTCAAATAAATTCCTTGGAAGAAGAGTTATTCAGGTCTCCTGCTTCACAGCTATTTTGGTCCTCCCTTTTTACTAGGCCTTTTGTCTTTCTCCATTTACCGAGCTCTTTATGAGTGTCGTGACAAGTTCTCATTGGGTTACATCCCTGAGACTCGGCTTTGCATACAGCGGCTGAAATGAGAGAAATCTGTGACATTTGTTGTACTTCAGTTTGCAGAGAATTTATTGGCAGAAGGTGCAAACAAATTAGGTGTTAATTACTGTGAATCAGTTGAGCCTGAGACCACGTACAACTTTCTGCATTATATATGGCCTCGCTAATGCTTTTGCAGCAGGGCAATTTATTCACAATTCCTCCCTGTATTCACCTTGTACGGAGACACCAATCATGCCTAAGTAATGATATGAGTTGCAAGCTAATTGAGCTGTAAATCCATCTTCCTCGCCCTCCTCTTCTGTTTGGAATGAATTGTTTGAGCAGACAGGTTAGAAATACAAAACAAAATGATATTTTTCCAAATGCCCAGAGGTTTTCTATCGCATTAAAACCTGTGGTCTGAATATAAGAGCTGATGGTATTAATCACGTAAACTTAAAAAGGTCTGGCTTATCTTGAGGCCAGTTCCTTAATCTCCTGCTGTTCCATATTTCATTCCCTACCCACCATTCCACATTCTGTTATTAACAATTCAGAATCATTAGACTTCGATACATCTCTGCTGCTAGCATGTTTTAACCATAAAACTACTGAGAAATGCCAAGTTAACTACTCTTGTGAAGACTCTTGTTCCTGCCCCAGTGCAAATCAAGAAGTACTAATATTCATACTCAATTGCAGCATCATATTTTTTTTTCCTGCTGCATGTTTATTATATATAATTATGACCTTTTTAAATTTTCTCCTGTCCATTTGGATAAGGACGGCCTTTTTTTTATGGTATAGCGCAGCGGATCTCAACCTATGGGTCGCGACCCCATTTGGGGTCGATCGACCATTTCACGGGGGTCGCCAAGCAAGGCTGTCCGCCATTTTTTTCCCCTTTTCCGGCGGGTGCCTTACCTCCCTTGGGCTGGGCCAGCTGGTGGTCGGCCTGCTCCGTCTCTGCCGCTTGCCAGCTACGCCTCGGCCAGCGCAGGGGGCGGAACCACGCATGCGCGGCGCTCCCGGGCAGGGAAAGTCCTTGACTTATGACCGGTTGGGTAGTCCTCGACTTACGACCGGTTTAGTCCTCGGATTACGACCGGTTTAGTCCTCGGCTTACGACCGGTTTAGTCCTCGACTTACGACCGGTTTAGTCCTCGACTTACGACCGGTTCGGGGTCGCGGCATTAAAAAGGTTGAGAACCACTGGTATAGCGGTAAGAACTTTGCACTGTGCCTCTCAATTCTTGGGACTTCCAGGGAAGAAAAGGCAAACTCAAGATGGCTTTGCTAAAAGCAGATGATACTTTAAGGATTTGTTTATAAAGAAGAAATGGGCAATGGGAAGAAGAGATTATTTATTGTATTTTAAGCAAAGATGATGTTACTAAAATTGTTTATACTTGTTGTGAGGAAGGGGGAAGTAATTTCATTATATTTCTTTTTTTCTTAGTATATTCTTATTTTTTTCTATTTTTCTTTTCTATACCTTCAATTTTTATTTTTCTTTCATTTTTTTATTTTTGTATTTATCATTGTAATTGCAATTTTTAATAAAATTACAATTGAAAAAAAATCTTTTTACAAAGTAGATTAGTGGCACTCAAAAGTTCCTAGTAATTGCAAATGCATGTGTGTGAAGGATCTGCACTAGATGGTGGTAACATAGTATTTTTGCTTTTCAGAACTTTCTCTCCACTTGCAAGTTGTCCTATCTTCTCAGTTTGCTGCAACCATTATAGTCAGAGACAAATAGATACTTTCCAGAGTCTGATAAAGACATGGTGTTTTTTTTTACTTCATCAGTATAAATATGGGCTGTCTTTGGTTCTTAAAAGAAGTTAGAGAACTTGTTTTAATTATGAAGAGTGCCCAGTTTCTGTATTAAGAGAATTGTATCGGTACATGAGTGGCAGAAATGATGTATGACTACTTTTTTTTAATACTTCATGTGCAACCTCCTTTTACTTCCATTTGACTTGTATTCTTTGCCTACAATCTCACAGCAATCCTGTGTAAACTGTGGCCGGGAGGCAATGAATGAATGCACCGGTTGCCATAAAGTCAATTACTGCTCAACGTTCTGTCAACGGAAGGTATCACACCTCTTATGAATACAGTTGTCCTGCAGAGCTGAAGAAGCAAGCGCCCATGTATGATCTAGTACTTTTGAGCAACCAACAATGATTATATTACCGTAGGAGTACTAGGTTAGAGATGCAAAAATCCAGCTCTGTAGCAAAGAAAACTCCAATTTTTGATACCATGTAGTAGTTGTTTGGGTTTGTAGACCAGACATTGTATTCCTAGACTAAATCAAGAAAAAAGGACTATTTTCCTTCTAAAAAATAGGATGGATGAAGATGTTTCTCTCATTTTTATTCTTTTTGGTTTTCACCTTTTGGTATGAAAGCAAAACACTTTTAGAAACATGGATCTGTTTAGTGGCAGAGCGGTGATTAGATGCCCAAGCAATCGGTTCTTTTGGATCCAGAGACAATGAGCAATTTTAAGTTTTATTATTAACTCAAAGAAATAAACTTCAAAGGGTAACATATAAAGCATAGATACCAAGTAAAATGATGCCCAACTCTTACAACTGCCAGGAGCTCCATAACGGAAACAGCCGAGATACTCCAAGGGTGGGCCACTTCACCCAATTTTATTTATTTATTTATTAAATTTATTTGCCACCCATTTCAACATGAGGCATTTCTGATAAGACAGGAAATATGACCAAATGAGCTAATTCTACTATATTGAAAGGTTACATTAACAGAATATTGCAAGTCTGAAAATACTTCTCTTCCCCCCTCAGAGCTCCCCAAAAACTGGGGGGGGGGGTTTCTGAGCCTCTTGCCCCACCCACATTCCTGCTGCTGGCTGCCTGTTCCCTTGGCTGCATCATATTGCCCTGTCTCCCAAGGTCATTCCCACATACCATTATGTAACAGTAGCATTCCCTGCCCCTGCTGTTATGTTGCTGTACTTTTACTTCACTCAATAATTGCTTCCAGTTCACAGTCTGTCTCTTTTTTTTTTGTGCTCATTTTCAGGATTGGAAAGACCATCAGCATATGTGCGGGCAGTCAGCCACAGTAACTGTTCAGACAGAAGATGATCATGATACAGATAATGTGATTGAAAAAGTTATTGTCTAAAACCTTCTTTCTTCATGGATTGTGTGGTGCAGCAGACTGGCTGGGCCAGCAATTCTTCTGTGAAGTTCTGTGATGAATAAAACAAAACAAAGTGACGCATAAATAAAACCCTTCACCGAGATGGGTGAAGGCATAGTATTACTTGAATGTTGCTGGCCAACATATGAATTTTCTCTAACCAAGCAAAAAATTAAACCTTATGGGCACAAGGGCATCAAGGAGCTCTGTTGTTTTAAGGGAACTTTGGAAGTTGATGGCTCTTTAGCTCATTTTCTACAAAGCTGCTGTAAAACAAATGGATTATGGGGATTCTTTGAAGTATTTTGAAAATGTTATTTAAAGCAGCTTTTGGGTCTGCGTCCTTTTAAGATTCCTCTGATGAGGTTTCAATAAAGATTGTGACAGCAAAAGGTCTTTGTGATTCTTGTTCAAATATGAAGCAGTTCTACTTTTCAGTAAATTTAGTTTCCTAATGACAATTAAATCTTACCTAAAACATAGATGGAATCTGATTCTATTAATGATTAATGATTTTTTTTTTGTGTGTTATTTGGGAGTTCTCTGTAAAAGTTCTCCAATACGGTAAAAAGCCTTTATAGTGCTCACTGTGTTGGAAGCATCATGAATCTTTTGTAGTTATTACACACTGATAAATGTGGAACATTTGAATACTTACAGAGAATAATTATTCAGTAGTTAGATTTGAAGGTCTTGTAGGAAAATTCAAAAGTGAAATTTCCCTTGTTGAATTCAACATTTGAAAACTACATGGACATACCCATATGATCTTAGTTGTAAACATACAGAAGTGTTTGGTCCTTTCCTTCTTTCAGTATTTTTTAGATCCCTTTCTCACCTCAGATTTTGTTGTGGTCTCCTAGCTAAGAAGCATGACCCTGCTTTGTTTTTCAAGATCAACCCAGATCACGTAGCTGCTGTTACTAAATTAAATTGGGGGTCCCTGACTCCCAGGCCGCACCCCATCTCAGGGCCTTGTGCTGTTCAGAACCAGGCCACAGAAGTGGCAGGCAAGCACACATGTGCATCTCCACTTCGGGAAACAGCGGGCGAGCATGTGTACGTGCTCCAATTGCACAAGCAGCTGACACGCTTGCCACTCATGGAAATGGAGCTTAACACGCACATGTGCGCACTTGCCTGCTGCTCACACTCGCAAGAAACCATCCCCTCTTTCCTTGCCAGTCCGCAAAGCCGAAAAGGTTGGGGAAATCTATTTTAAATAATTACACTAATGGTCCATGTCCTGAACCCTGTAGACTTCAAACTACAATCTTGTTATTCTGCTAGACTTTCTCAAAAATCTACTACAATACAGAGTAGCACAAATAGCAATTTTAACATTACCGAATTGCCTACTGTTCCAGAGAAATGGTAGAATTTGTCCTATTGGGGACTGAAACAGCAACAATTGTACTTATTTGTCAGTCACATACCACTGAGGACATGTTATTAAATCATAGCTGATTGCAAGAATACATAGGTAAATACACTGTGGTATACTGTAAATCAGAAGCACCACAGAAAAAGTATTGAAACTTTTGAACAGTGGTATTGTAGAAGACTTGAAAACTGGATATCCAAGTAAACAAATAAATGGATGATAGAACAAATTAATCCAGAGTTCTCACTCAAGGCACATATGATCAGGCTCAAATTATCGTATTATGTGAGACATGTAAAGAGCCAGCTGTCTTGAAAAGTCCATAATGTTGGGATAGGTGGAACAAAAAAGAGAATGACCAATAAGTTGAATGTATTTGATTACTATGGTGATGGGGTACAGTTGGCAGATCTGAAGAGTCGGGTTGGGAATAATCTGGGACAGTCTGTGTGGTTGCTAAGAGTTGACATTAGCTTGATAACCCTTAAGCAATTAAAAACATCAGATATGATAAATTGATGGAATCAAAACAGTAGTTTCCATCCAACAACATACAAATCTTTTTTCTTTTCTTTTTCATCTTATGTCTCATATTTTGTTCCAGGGGGTCCATCAGTTTTCAAGGATTTATTTGGGACACATGTAGTCAAAGAGGCACCTTTTTTGCTGTTGGAAGAAGAGTATGGCGGTTTTCTTATAATTTTGATTTTCACACTTCTGAGTATACAGATGAAAAGAATATCTCGGACATCTTTCGGGAACTCAGTAGAACTCAGTGATCAGATCATTAAACATTTATGCATCACATTTACAGCTTTGTGTTTGTTCTGCCAAAAATAAAAGCAAAGGTGCAACTGTGTATTTCCTCAGCATCTCACTTGAGGAGAAAGAATCTTACATCCTAGCAAGAAAACTAATTTTGAAAATAGCACTTCTTGAGTGTTAAAATCACAATAGATTTTTAAAAAAGTACTAGTTTTAGGCGTAGAAGAAACAGAACTTTATAGAGATATTGATATATCTGGCCAGTCGCAGAAATGTGTTTATAAATCAATTGTGTGTCTATATATTAGATCTAAGCAACAATACAGCTAAATAAAATAGCTGTAAACAGCTACGTAGGCAAACATTCAAACTGAGGTAAAAGACTTGTTTCAGTGCAATGTTGGTAAGTGTCGTAAGGGCATTCATGATGGAATTTGTAAATGTAACAAATACATATTTTCAGTTGTTCCTAAATCTGTTTTTGGCAAGACATTGTAAAGGGAAGATGAATGACATTTGGAGGAAGGACTTTATATTTGTTTGCTCTCATCAATCAAGAGCACCAAAAAAGCCACTGTAGGTACAGTAGCAGAATTGCCACCCCACCCATCGTGCTGCTCATCTAATCCCTATTTGACTAGAGGGTGATCAACTCCATATATTGACATCTCAATAGGCCCCCAAAAGTATCTGGTATGGTGGTCCCATGTTGGGAAGATAAGAGACCTGAGTCTGTATTTTCTTTTCCCTCCATAAACATAGTTATAAGGTCTTTACACATTGTAGCTTCTTCAATTGCTTTAGTATTTAACTGCAGGGACACCAAAGTCAATTCAGCTACTTGCTAATGCTTTGATTTGCTAGCTATATTGAAAAATGGAGGAGATGGTACACCTCAATTTGGCAAAACCGCAGTCTGGTCAACCTCTCCTAAGAGGTTCATGTTCACTTATTTCCATTTCTATTGCTCTCAAAATGAAGAGAAACAAAAGGGAATACTATTAACATCTAAGCAAGAGACCAGTCTGCTCTCTCTCAAATCATTCCTGTATGAAAGGAATCCTGCATATATTCTCAAAGCTAAGAGTTTACTCAAACGGGTACCACAGTAATTATATTCATTTTATGTTCTGTGTGGGACTGATGCCTTTATTCTTGTTTTGGGGTTGTTGTTTTTGTCCTTAATTCCCAGATACTCTTTTTTATATCTAGATATTTAGATTAGATTTTTATAAGAGGGATTTCTTATTAAAACATGCACTATTGCCTAAATATATTGTTGTGTTTTCAGAATTTTCATAAGGTTAAAATTTGTACTGTGGGAGTTTGGGCATACAAACAAAAATCCAAAGGACTTTTTAAAACTTTCCTGAATCTCTTTCCTGAAGAGAGGGGTCCTCAGAAGAATAGCAAATATATGTCCAATGGGCCAGAATTTGGTGGATCAGGAAATTCGATTTAAGTGTTGCTATAACTTTGTCTGGAGAATTTTCAAAGGGGGGGGGAATTAAATCCTCTCCCAGATCAGCAACCATTTTCAATACAATAGGACTATTAATTCTTGTATATGATCAGGACTAGAGGATGAGCAAACATAGGCATATATTTGCCATGCTATTGTCATGTAAATTATCCTCGTAATGTTTTTCTGATCCCATGGCACATATAGCTTGATCAAACTGATTATGCATCTTATCCATGCCTTTGACATTGACCAGCACTCTCTAAGCTAGCGAAATACACAAACCATTATAGCTATGACGAGCATAGTTGTTTTTTCAGACCTATCTCTGTTTTCTCAGTTCCTAACCCATCACATCCTTGGCAAAAGATTCTAGGCATTAAGTACCTTCTAATGGTTAATTATTTTTACAAGTGAGGCAAAATATCCCTAGATTATCAGAGCCATCAAAACATGTATAAATTCTTACAGCATCACTCAAAAGATACTTCTACAATTCTTTGGGGGAAATGATGCTGTCATTATTGCGGGACAACCATCACAAATGCTTCTCTGAATAAATGTTCTGCTTGAATGGAGGACAGATGGCAAACCCAAATGGGGTAATTTTCTCAGTCAACTTAGAATATTATCATGAAGTCTCACAAATATAATGCATCGGTTTCAGGCCATTTTTTTGCATTCTCACCAAATATGAAGGAACGGTTGTCCAGAAAGTAGTATCTTTATCAAGTGAAAAAAAATTGACACACACAAGCATATAATAAGAAATAAAGCTTTATTAAACTATACAAAGACAATAATTGGTCTGGCTCTTTGTCCTGTGCAATATACTCTCCTTTCTTCTGGGTTCAGTTCTAGACAAAGAATCCAGCAGAGTTAGCAGAAGATGTGCAAAACTTTGCGGAAGTAATTCCTAAACTCAGTGTTGAAGATTGTATAGATGATAGGGTTGAGGGCACTGTTGACATAACCCAGCCATGTGACAATGCTGATTACTTGGCCAGAAATGACACAGGACTCACAGAGAGCTCTGGTTATGTGCACCACAAAGAAAGGAGTCCAACAGAAAAGGAAAGCACCTTTAAAAAAGAGAGAGGGGAAAAAATTAGCCAGTTCTTCTCTGCATGTGTCTTATTTTCTCAAAGGTAAACATGTTAATTTTGAACAGTGGCATATAAGTTTTTAAAAAATGAGGAAGGAAAAAAAATCCGAGGTTACCTTTTAATAATGTGAGGTTGCCATTTCTGATCTGCCTAAATTCTTTGCATTTGAGAATGCTGAAATCTATTTAATTTCCCCATTCTTGCTGCATCTGGTGTCTGGTTTAAATGTACCTAACACTGGTTGAATGAAACAACAGCGGGCACAACCCTACATCATTTGTATATAAAC